CAAAACAACCAGTCGGGTCGTGTAACGACCCGGTCGTTCGTTATGAGATTTATAGCCCCATTTTCCCCATCTATACTTGTTTGTGTATTGTTCAGCTGTGTTGATTTGTATCTTGTTGGTAGTTTTGGGTTTGGAGTAGTTTTGGAGTGAAATGAACACTTAGTCTCTTCGTTAAATAGCTAAGTTAGAAAGTCACAGAAGTTGACTTATGAGTAAAAGAATTTGGATTTGGATTTTCATGATTCGATTAGCTTTGTTGGGTGATTTTAGGCTTAGGATTGTATCCTGAATATAATTTGGAGGTCCGTGGTAGAGTTAGGCTTGAATTGGCGAAAGTTGGAAGTTTAGAAGTTCTAAGACTTGAATCCGAGGTTGATTTGGTGCTGTTTTGGGTGTTCTGGAGGTTCGACTAAGTTCGGGTAGTGATATATGACTTGTTGGAATTATCGGTTGAGGTCCCGAGGGCCTCGGGTGAGTTTTGAATAGGTTTGGGTTGTGTTGCGCTCGTTTTTCTTATGTTTCGACGATATTTCTTCAAGCATAAAGGATATTGAACAAATGAGCTCCGATTTCTTTTTTGATTGAAGCATTAGATCTGTATCGTAATTACGGAACTGTAGCAAAAAGAATCATCGAATTTGGAAATCGTATGAGAATTTTATGGTCATTTTACTAAGACTTAGGTTGCCAAATTTTTCAGATTAATTACGAAATTGCCACTGACGGCGTATTTAAAAATCTGCACTATTTGCAAATATTGAAACCAACATATCTCATTCATTTTAAGGTCAAATTGAGTGATTCAAAAGCCTAACTTGACTAGAATTTCACAAGGAATCCATTGGAGGAATAAAAAGTGAGTTTTGGGATCGTTTAGCATGAGAAACGAGGTAGAATAGCTGGCAAAAAAATATATAAAACTAGGGTTTGTTCATTCGGTCATATTTTGAGTTGGGGAGCTCGGATTTGGGAGATTTTCACCATAGGTATTGGGGTAAGTGCTCTTTACTAGGTTTTGGTTATATTTCATGAATCCATCTTTGTTGTTGGGATTTGATTGATGATTTCAAAGTGAAATTGAGGGAGTTAGAGTTTGAGTTTTGGAGAGTTTTAAGTAAGGATTTGAGGGACCAAACGGAGTCCGATTTTGATAAATTTTATATGGTTGGACTCGGGAGAGGACGAGGTTTATAGTTAAAAATTGATTAGAGGCACTTACCCAATGATTTGGTATGAAAATCTTCTCTCAAAATCGCCCACTCTCGGAGTTAAGGTTCAAAAATATGAAAAATGAGCAAAAACTCGGAATACTCAGCTTGTAGCTGGCTGCAGATGTCGCATTTGCGACACTGGGTTCACAAATGCGAACTCGCAAAAGCGAAGAATACTTCACAAATGCGAAGCCTGAAGAATCCTGTCTCCATCGCAATTGCGATGAGACACTTCGCAAATGCGAAGCAGGGCCATCGCAAATGCGGCCCAAATGTTCGCAAATGCGAACTAACTCAACTCCGGCCTTTATCGCGAATGCGATGCTAAGTCCGCAAATGCGAATTCGACAGGCCTCGCAAAACCGGCGATTTCCTCGCAAATGCGAGTCCATCCCTTAGCAGCCCAGCTTCGCAAATGCGAGGCTTCTTCGCAATTGCGATAGTCACATTTGCGACATAAACATCGCAAATGCGATGACACCAGTACCAGAAATGAAAGACTATGAAAAGTTATTCCAAAACCAACCCGGAACTCACCCGAGCCCTTGGGGCTCCAACCCAAATATGCACACAAGTCAAAAGACACCTCACAAACTCGCTCGCGCACTCAAATCATTATTATAACTTCTAAAACCATGAATTGGATGCCAAAACACATGAAAATCACCGTGAACTTCAAGAACTTCTAGAATTGCAACCAAGCGCCCGAACCATACCAAATCAACTCCAAACGACACCAAATTTTGCAGGCAAGTCCCAAATGACATAGCGGAGTTGCTCCAACTTTCGGAATCCCATTCTGACCTCGATAACATGAAAGTCAACTATGGGTCAAACCTCTCCATTTTGGGAGAAATTCAAAAATAGCCAGATTTACCACTGGTCGTTGAAAAATAGCCAAGTTTCAAAAGTCATCGAAATTTAGCCACTTTAAATCTGAGCAGAAACACTGTTCAAAATCCGGAAAAATACGCCCGCAAATTTTAGGGGAGTTCCAGCATAAGTATGCTTGAACTCCCGTAAATTTTACGGGAGTTCCAGGATAACTATGCTGGAACTCCCGCAAATTTTACGGGAGTTCAAGCATAATTATGCTGGAACTCCTATCCTGGAACTCCCGTAAAATTTACGGGAGTTTAAGCATACTTATGCTGGAACTCCCGCAAATTTTACGGGAGTTCCAACAAGTATAATTGTTTAGTATAATATACTGGAGTTTGGAGCACTGGTGCTCCAGTCTCCCGCAAATTTTACAGGAGTTAGCAAAGTATACCGGTCCAGCATAATATGCTGGAGTTCGTACACAAATGCACCAGAACTCCCGTATATTATACTGGACCGGTCCCTGTTGCAGCAAAATAGTGGCTATTTTTCATTGACTTGATAAACGCTGGCTATTTTTCATTGACCAGTGTGAAAACTGGCTATACCATGATATTTTAACCTCCATTTTCCCAAACTTCAACTTTTCCAACTTTCGCCGAAACGCCTCAAATTACCCTACGGGCCTCCAACTCCAAATCCGAACGCGCACCTAAGTCCAAAATCACCAAACGAAGCTATTGAGACCACCCACAATCCATTCCAGGGCCGTTTACTCAAAAGTCAAATTTCGGTCAAATTCTCACCGTTTAAACTTCCAAAACTAGTTCCCTTCTTCCAATTTGACTCTGAATTATTCGTTAACTGAATTCAACCCTACCCACAAGTCGATACACATAATATGAAGCTGCTCGTGACCTCAAACTGCCGAGCCGGACGAGATTGCACAAAACGACCAGTCGGGTCGTTACATTTCCTCCCTTTCCCATCTCTTTTCTTGCTTGATTTTTTCAGTTGGTAAGTGAAGTTTTTGTGTCTAAAAAATAAATTCGACACATTTTATAGTAAAACCTTGGCGGGTTCACGCAGTAATGTTATGATGAGTGGAATGTGAAGAATTTAAAATATATTTATCGTAGGCTTCTATTAGTACTAGCTACAAGGCAGAAAAAGTTTAGTTGTTATCATAATAAAGTGGTAAAGTTTTAACTTTTTGGAGTGTATAACAACTATGGGGGTGGGGAGCTGAAAAAATGGAAATAAAGAACAGCACAAAGGTGAAATTAAAAACTACAACATGAACGTTTTTTTTTAATTTGATTCAGTCTTAATAGAAACTTGGCATGTTTGTTCTTTTATTCTTTTTTATTTTGAATTTTGTTTTCCTTAAAAAAATTGAAAACTTGAGATAACAAAATCACATCTTATATCACGCGTATAAAAATTAGATTTGAAATAAAAGAAGAAATTTAAAAGTACAACATGAATTTTTTTAGTTCAATTCTATTTTTAAACACGAAAAGTTGGTGCTGTTTGTTCTTATATTTTTTTCCCCACTTTGATTAATTCGTTTTTCTACTTCGATTAGTTTCGTTTTTCTTTTATACATCTTATATTGTATGTGTAAAAATTGGATTTCAAATAAAAGGAAGAAAATCAAATAACAAGATGTACGTTAAAAATTCATTTACTCAAAAGCATATAAATTAATTTATACATCGGAACTATTATTTGAGAAAATTTAACCAAATATATTTGCTACAATGTAATATAATAAAAATATTACTATAATATTTATAAAGTTACTAGAAACGGTTAATGCAGTTCTAAAATTAGTAGAAAATAATTAACTTTGCCTTCTATTGTCCTAGAAGAACTAAAGTAAACAATTAATTGAAACCTAATCCCTTTTACTTGAGAAAATTTCTTAGAACAAATTATGAGGGCTATCAGCTCAGCGGAAGTGTTGATGCACTCCACTTGCTCCGGAGTTGCCTATTTGGTCAGTATGCTTTGGATAGGTATTGATTGGTATGGCGGGGCCCTGTCCCGACCTTTATGATTTTATGTACTCTTAGAGGCTTGTAGACAGATGTCAGGTGTATGGATACTTATATGGACTTGTCGGCCTATGTTTTGAGTTTACAAATGGTCATGTTGGCCTTATAGGCCCGTATGTCACATGTATAAGTTTGTATATCATGTTGGGTCGTCATATGTTGAGTATTGACGGGTTTTCTGGCTCATATACCCATGATAGTATGATAAGNATATTAAAATAAATTCACTATTAAATGAGATGTAATATTAATAGAAACTCTACTTTTTTTTCCGCTCACTAAGCTTTTGATTTTCCCCTTATACGTGATAACTCTTTTTGGGGATAACTAACCCTTTTCCTTTATTTTTTTTTTCAATCAATAGAGTTTTTTACTTTTTTCGTTGTTATTATATTCAAGGACTCAATGTAAAATTTAGACTTCCGAAGAGTGTCACTGTCAAGCGCATTTGATGGTAACTTTGAAGTATTGAATGGTGATATAGTGTGACATGAAATAGTTTTATTCGAATTATATTGTAAATTCTCATTCAAAAAGATTTAGAAGCAAATATATTTGTGCCTTTTCATTCATTGTTCGCTAAATTATTATCGGTATGGTGTTAGTAGTCTGATTTATATAAATAAGAATGTAATTCACCATTTCTCACGATTCTTCATTTTTTCAACAAAATTCACACAAAAAATATTTTTGTAATGTCATTTGTGTCTTTCTAGAAAATCGCGCGAAGCACGGATTAGTTTACTAGTTTTTAATAATTTTAGTTTAATTAGGTGGTGAAGAACATTTCCTGATTTAGCCAATAAAAATATGTGTAACGAATCTCATGACTATTCAGTGGGTAACCATAATTTAAGCAAAGCTAATAGATGTCCTACAACATAGGAAATCCACAAACTATTCCCTACTTTAAGGTTTATTCTCCAACAAAATTCCCTATAAATAACCTATGCCATTACCATTACCAAATCGTCCAAAGGAAACACTGTAAAATCACAAGCAATTAAAAACAAAAAAACAAAGCAAACAACAAGAAAAAAGAAAATAAAAATGGAGGCAAAAAAGCTTGTTGCGGTGTTTCTGATGTGCATGGTTGTATTAACAGCTGTGTCTAATGTCCCTAAGGCTGAAGCCACTGAAGAAGAGTTCAAAGATTGCTACAACACTTGTCACCAGGAATGCTCTCAAGAAGGCCATGGTTATACCTATTGTGAGATGAAATGTGATACTGAGTGTTCAATGAAGGAGATCAGAGGTATATCTTCGATTTATATTATCTGTCTTTTAAAACTTTATAAACATTGACAATGACATTTAATCGCCTTAATCAACAGTATTAGAGTATTTTTTTTAACCTAGTTATTTCTCCCTTCAACGTTTCATTTGATTAACACGTCAAATAGACGATTTCTTATTTTTAAAACGTCAAATATTTCGAAAATATTCAGTTTGTCAAGATGACTAATAATTGGAATCAAGGGAAGTACTATTAATTGAAGAATTAAGGAGTTTTTTTTCCTTTTTATACAATTGTTTTTAAAATTTTAAATATTCTTAGCTCCGTTTGTCCATAAATTTTTTTTATTTTTTTTTCAAAACATATTTGAAAATATTGTTTGGTTATAAAAAGTTGTCATTTTTGGGCCGTTCTTGAAGATGAATTTTTTAAGTTTCAAAAAGTGGTTTAGACTAGTTTTTCACGTTTTTTAAGTTTTCTACTTATAAAGCATCAACTTCTTTCCAAGTAAAATGCATGTCCACATATAATTTCAACTTTCAAAAATTATTTTTTAACTCATCTTCAAAAACTTTTTTTTTTTTCAAGTTTCAACCAAAACTATTGTCCAAACGCTAGCTGAAAACTCCTAAATTTATGCAACTTTTAATCATATAGATTTTATTTGAATAGTATGCTGAGTGCACAATGAATGTCCTAATCGATATTGATTTTCTATATATGCTTGTTTTTCTTTTTATTAGCTCTTGTTCCATCTTTTTAATTGATTTTGTTGTATTTTTGCAGCTCAATTCCCAAAATTCAAGGCTTAAGGTAGAGGACCCAAAAGATACAAGAGTTAAGCAGATATGGCTGAAGAAAAGAAAGCAGTGGAATTGTAATTCTGCTAAATACTTCATTAATTTCTTTTCGACTGCTGGATATATGTAACTTCAAAATTCAATAAAATCATTCATTTCTTAATTTGAATTTCACCGCGCTTAATTTAATTTATTTTAATTTTTATTATCGGATGTCCCAAAGAGACTAATCTTTTTAACTCATTAACAATTACTGTATTTATTTTGTGTTCCCGTTTGGCACTATGGGCATTAATTGCAAATCCAATTACTTTTTCCACATTCTGGTTTCCCACTTGATAATAGAATAAATGAAAAGGATAATATTTTTATACAGTCGGCATATAAATTTTAGTTCTCATTGGATTCCTTGTTTGGTTTCACATAAGATTATTAAACATCTAATCGCGTGTTGTCAGTTAATTATTGGCTCGAAATTGAAATTATCCATGAGTTATGATGGAATTCGTTTATAATAATAACCAGTTCTTTTAAATGGCACTCAAGGGTGTCTTAATGGTCAATAAAATATGTGCAACCTTGAAGAAAAGAAGCCCTATGATTTGCCCTATGAATTGAGTCTGCTAAATGATGAAGCTCACAATGAAGAAGAAGAGAAGAGAAAGTCTCTAGGGTTTCCGACAAGAACAAAGGCTTCGGAATTCTCTAGGAATCAAAATAATATATTTGCACAAAAGGACTCAAGTCATGGACTCATCTCAACCGTTGATCATAAATTTGATCAATTAAATCCTAGCCGTCCAGCATAATGAAGAAATACAGTTGTATAACAACTTTGGATTCTAGAATAAACCCACATGTGTGAGGCATGTGACACACCTTGTAAAGAATAATAGTTAGTTATTAGATAGCCAATAGCAATTAGACAAGTGTATAGGAGTCTCATTTCTATTTTTATTTTTACACAGATATACTTGTATATATACAACTTCAGCTGAATGACAAAATACAGAGAGAAAATTCCCTACATCATTTTCTGATTTTACAAACTTTCATGGTATCAGAGCATCGAGCTCAATTCACTACAAAATCATCTAAATCTTCTGTGACTCATCCTCTTCATCATGCCTGATACAGAAACTTCTGATGCATCTGTCATTCAGACTGTAGCTGGAAATGCAGTCAACTTCGACCCAAACCACCTTACTTTCTTCACTCTTCTGATGCACCAGGCATGACTTTTGTCAACGCAACCTTCAATGGGAGAGGCTTTCAAGGATGGAAAAGATATGTTCTCCTCCTGTAATCACATCCAAAGATTTCAAGCCATGGAGTATGTGTAATGGTATGGTTACCTATTGCTGTTAAACTCACTATCCAAGGACATTGGGGATAATGTGATTTACTCCAAATCTGCCAAGGATCTCTGGACCAGCCTTGAACACAGGTTTGGTCAGTCAAATGATGCTAAATTATACCACCTGCTTAAGGAACTATCAGGATTAGTTCAAGGCACTGGTGATATAGCAAGTTATTGTGACGCCCCGGCCCGTCGTCACGTGAGTTACCGTCCCGTTTTCCCCATCTTATGTTTCTATGTGCTTCATTGTCGGTAGTTGATGTGATCGAGTTGATTTGGATTGATTTTGGTAGGAAATGAGACACTTAGTCTCTTTAAGGAAGGTTTGCCTTGGAAAAGTCAACTGGATGTTGACTTATGAGTTAGAGGATTCGGATGTGATTTTCGGTGATTCGGTTAGCTTCGGGGGATGATTTGTGACTTAGGAGTGTGATCAGAATTTATTTTGGAGGTCCGGTGTAGAATTAGGCTTGAATTGGCGAAGTTAGTATTCTGGCGAATTCCGGTTGATAGGTGAGATTTGATCCGAGGGTCCGAATGGAATTCCGAGAGTTGTTGTAGCTTCGCTAGGTGATTTCGGATGTGTGTGCAAAATTTCAGGTCATTCGGAGGTGTTTTGGTTGGGCTTTTTATCGAATGCGAGTTTCGAAAGATTTGGATGAACTTAGGCTTGAATTTTAAGTAATTTGATGGTTTAGGTGTTATTTGTGGTGTTTTGATGATTCGAGCAAGTTTGAATAAGGTATTGGATCATGTTTGTATTTTTGGTTGAGGTCCCGGGGGGCCTCGGGATGATTTCGAATGGCTATCGGGGAGTTTTGAACCTTGGTGAATTGCAGGTTTTTGCTAGTATCAGGTGTTTCCACATCTGCGGAATATGGGCCGCATATGCGGTTCCGCAGATGCGATTGGTTGGCCGCAGGTGTGAGTTTTGAGGTAAGGGGCTGTCTTCGCAGTTGCGGGCTTGGAGCCGCATCTACGGTGCCGCAGATGCGGTAGATGTGTCGCAGAAGCGGAAGGGTGTGGATTTGGCATTTCCGCAGAGGCGGACAACCATCCGCAAAGGCGAGGTCCGCATATGCTGTGGAGGACCGCAGATGCGGTAGTGGGTTTTAAATGAGGATCCGCAGAAGCGGAAATCCGACCGCAGAAGCGGTAGACGCAAATGCGGTAATGGGACCGCAGATGCGAAAATCCCTGTTATCAGAAGGGTTTTTAAAGCTTATTTTGTTCCGCGAGCTTAAGTCCATTTCCACCATTTTTAAGCAACCTTGAGAGCTCTTGGACGGAATTTGAAGGGGATTTCGACTAGGTGTGATTGGAGGTGAGTTCCTTGGCCTAAATACATAAATTAATGGTAGAATTTGCATTGAAGTTTGTGGAAATTCATCATGTTGGCCCAAGTTCAGATGAAGTTTTGAAGATTGACAAAATAAACTCAGTCATGAACCAGGTCCATCATGTGAGACACAGTGTTGATATGCTTACACATGTGACATACGCGTGAAGAAGATAAGTCTCAAGGATCAGCAACAATATCTTCTGAATTGATCGAAAAGATTGCATATAGGATAAGGAGTTGAAGTCTCCTTATGAAAAGAGAATTACATCTGGATCAAGGATATGGATTAGGAATTAGAGTTGTTCTTGGACTCGAATTGTCAAAGGATCCACAATTCGAGTTCTTATCAAACTCTGATTACTAACTCTATAAATATAACGATTGTTCTCTTTTACAGGTGATTGCACATAAGCAGAAGTTAAGCATATTTGAGAGCAAAAAGATCAAGTCTGATTTGCAAGCAACATATGCGAGATACAAGTGTGCACGTCTGAAGCTATATGAACTAAGATAGAAGAACCAGTTTCATCATTGTGTTTATTCTAAGTCTAGTTCAATTGTAGTAGGTTTTCATATTGTACCTTTCAGCTTTCATAGAAGCAATTGTAATAGGTATATTGAGTATTCAAGTAACTTGAAAGTGTCGCAACAGTTGAGGCTGTGTGCTACACTGGGATTAGAGTTAATCCTTAGGTTTACAAAGAGTTTTGTAAATGCAGTTTTTGGCTCAGTGATTTTAGTGGAGTTTAGGAAAATCCTACTGAGTAGTAGGTCGTGGTTTTTTCACCTTTTGAGCCAGGTGTTTTCCACGTAAAAATCTCTGTGCACTTTACATTCAGCATTTATTATTCCGCAAACTGCTGTAGTTAGAACACTTAGAAGAACCAGTTTCTTCTAACGCGAAAATTAGGTACCACACAAATCACTCCCCCTCTTGTGTGGTATTGACGTTTATAACATAAATTGGTATCAGAGCAGGTTATCCTTGAAGAGGTTAACACCTTACACCACCTGGGAACTGGGAAGGGCAATCCACTGCCAGGCCTCCTCTCTTCAATGGTCTCTACTACTCCTGGTGGAAAAACAGAATGAGGGACCATATAATGGGCGAAGACTATGAGCTTTGGGATATCATCACCGATGGTCCTTTAGCCACAACCAGGAAGAATGCTGAAGGAGTGGATGTTCTAATAACAAGAGTAGATTGTACTGCTAAAGATCTAAGGAAATGGGAGAAAAATGCAAAAGCCAAGAAATGGTTAGTGTGTGGACTTGGTCCTGATGAGTACAGCAGGATTCAAGGCTGTACTACTGCCAAGGAGATTTGGGACACTTTACAAGTGGCTCATGAAGGAACACCTCAGGTGAAGAGGTCAAGAGGAACACTGCTGTATTCTCAATATGAGAATTTTACTATGAAGGATGGAGAAACTATCCAAGAAATGTATACCAGGTTCACTACACTGACAAATGAACTTGAGTCTCTTGGAAGGATTATCCTGGAAGAAGACAAGGTGGAGAAGATTCTAACTAGAGTTTTGCCAATCTCCTGGGAAAGCAAAATCACTGCCATTCAGGAATCCAAGAACATTGCTACTTTGAAGTTGGATGAACTGATTGGAAATCTCACTGCCTATGAATTGAGAAGGCAAACAATGAAGATGGATGCTCCAAAGAAAGAAAGAAGTCTGGCTCTCAGAATTTCAGAAGGATCAGATCTTGAAGATGATGAAATGGCTATGATAACCAGAGATTTCAAGAAATATCTTATGAGAGGAAAGGGTGCTTCAAAAGGAACAACATTCAGCAAACCGAGGGCTCCTGAGAAACAAACCAATGAGGAGTGTTACAAGTGTGGGAAGACTGATCACCACATCAAAAACTGCCCTCAATGGGAGATTGAATGGAAGAAAGAAAGAGCTGAAAGAAGAAACAGGAAGAAGGAACAGGTTCAACCGAAAAGAAACAAAGGTTCAACTAAGGCTATGGTTGCTGCTTGGGGAGAAACATCAGATGAGGACTCTGAAGATGAAGCTGAGGAGGATCAAGCTCTAATGGCCATCGGAGAATCAGAAGATGAACAGGAGGTAAGTATTCTACACCTTAAAGAAAATATTAAGTTCTTGTCTAAAGAAAAACTGGCTGATCTGCTGATGGACTTCATAGATGAGTCTGAAATAATAAATAGTGAGAAGGATGTTCTGTCTAAGGAATGTGTTATCCTAGAAGAAAAATGTAAAAGGTTAGAGTCTAGGGCTGATGAGAGTGACAACACAAATACTGAGTTGAAGAACCAGGTTCATCAACTTGAAAATAAGATTCTAGAACTTAGATCTGAAAATATTAAACTGAAATTAGGGACAGAAAAGAAAAGGGCTGATCAATCATTTCTCACCCTAGAAGAAAATCTAGGAAAAATGAAAGATGAACTGTACAAGAAAGATGAATTGATTAAAGTCCTAAAAGA